CCCTCAAGGCAAAACAGGCTTCAGTGCTCGGCTTACCTTCCTGGATAGCAGCTTTGACTTAGTTTTTGGTCTACACAGTCTTTATCTTCTTGTCAGCTCATAAATGCATTTTAAAGATAACTTTTGAGGCAAAGAATCTAGAATAGCTAAAACAATTTTGGGAAAAAACCCACTAAAGTGAGAGAAATAACTCTTAAGGCTTACTATTTATAGCTACAGTAATTAAGACAGTGTGTTATTGGCAGAAGGAAAGACACATAGCTCAGTGGAACTGAAGAGAACCCAGAAATAGATCTGCCCAAATATACCAAACTGATTTTTGATAAAGGTGCCAAAGCAATTCAACCGAAGAAGGTTTGCTTTTCAAAATGGTCCTGGAGCAATGGACATCCATAGGCAATAAAATGAACTCTGACCTAAACTTTACACCTTATATGACAATGAACTCAAAACGGATCACAGACTTACATGTGAAACACAAAAATATACAACTTTTAGAAAATAAAATAAGAAATAATCATCAGGATGCAGGGCCAGGCAAAGGTTCTTAGACTTCACACAAAAAGTATAATCCATCAGAGTATAAGTTGATAAATTAGATATAAACAGAACTGAAAACCTTCACTCTATGTAAGATCCCTTTGAGAGGATGAAAAGGCAAATAACAGACCAGGAGAAAGCACTTGTCAGATAAAGTACTTTATCTAGAATATTTAAAGAATTCACAAAACTCAATAGTAAAAAAATGAACAACCCAATTAAAAATGGGCAGGGTGCTTGGGTGGCTCAGTAGGTTAACCATTCGACTCTTGATCTAGGCTCAGGTCATGATCTCATGATTCGTGAGATCAAGCCCCATGTCAGGCTCTGCACTGACAGCATGAGCCTGGTTGGGATTCTCTCTCTCCTCTCTCTATGCCCCTTCTTTGCTCATGTGCACTCTCTCTCAAAATAAATAAATAAACATTTTTTAAAAATAAAAAAAAAGGGGGCGCCTGGGTGGCTTAGTCGGTTAAGCGTCCAACTTTCGCTTAGGTCATGATCTCACGGTTCGTGGGTTCGAGCCCCGCGTCGGGCTCTGTGCTGACTGCCAGCTGGGAGTCTGGAGCCTATTTCAGAGTCTGTGTCTCCCTCTCTCTCTGACCCTCCCCCGCTCACGCTGTCTCTCTCTCTCTCTCTCTCTCCTAGAAATAAATAAAAATATTAAAAAAATAAAATAAAATAAAATAAAATAAAAATAAAAAAAAAGAAAATGGGCAAAAGATAGGAGCAGACCCTTCATCAAAGAGGATATATAGATGGCAAAAACCAGATTAAAACATGTTCAACATAATCGGCCATCGCAGAAATGAGAATTAAGACTACAATGACACCGGGTGCCTGGGTGGCTCAGTGGGTTGGGTGTCTGACTCTTGATCTCAGCTCAGGTCTTGATCTCAGAGTTGTGAGTTCAAGCCCCATTTTGGGCTCCACACTAGGCATGGAGCCTACTTAAAAAAAAAAAAAAAAAAAAGAAAAGAAAGAAAAAAGAAAGAAATTACAGTGATATATCACTACTTGCCTATTGGAGTCGCTACAATAAAAAAGAAATAGTGACAACACCAAACAGTGGTGAAAAGGTGGAGAAACTGGATCCCACTTATACTACTGGTGGGAATTTTAAATGGTAAAGCAACTCTGGAAAGCAGTTAGGCAGTTTCTTCTAAAACCAAACATGCAATTACCTTCCTACCCAGTAACTGCGCTTTTGTCCCAGAGAAAATTTGTGTTCATGCAAACTCACATGTACATGACTGTTCATAACAGCCTTATTTGGAATAGCCTCAAACTGAAATCAGTCCAAATGACCTTTGATCAGGTGGATGGTTAAACAAATTACGGCATATCCATTCCACAGAATACTACTCAGCAATGAAAACTACTGATACACACAAACTGGATGGATCTCAAGGGTATCATGGAGGAAGGATTGCTTTTTCTGCAAATGGTCCTGGAGCAATGGGACATCCATAGGCAAAAATGGGAAAAAAAGATTAGGAATGGGGGTAGGTGTGGCTATAAATGGATAGCACAAGGGAGTCTTGTAGTAATGTAACAGTTCTGTATCGTGATTGTGGTGGTCGTTACAGGAATCTAAATTTAAGAATCTACACAAACACATGAATGCATGTAAAACTGGTGAAAATCTGAATTAACTCTGTGGATTGCACCGATGTCAATTTCCTGGCTTTAATACTGTACTGCTATCACTGGGAGAGCAAGGTGAAGGGAGATGGGGGAACCCGACCCGTGCTCTTTTGAGGGCCACCTCATGTGAATCTATAATTCTGTTTTCAACAAATTTAAAAACAAATTTTTATTTTTATTTGTTTTTTAATGTTTATTTATTTTTGAGAGACAGAGAGAGACAGAGAGAGGCAGAGAACGAGCAGCGAGGACCAGAGAGGAAGACACAGAATCCCAAGCAGGCTCCAGGCTCTGAGCTGTCAGCACAGAGCCTGGCATGGGGCTCAAACCCATAAACTATGAGATATGACCTGAGACAAAGTTGGACACTCAACCGACTGAGCCACCCAGATGCCCCAAAATATATTAATTTTTTAAAAAATTCAGTGATTTTAAGTTTTTTCCAGTGATCTTAATTTTTTAAAAACTCAGTGATTTTAAGGCTTTTTTTTCCCCCAGGGGAGATTTGGTGGGGTTTTGAGGCTTTAGCAGGGTTGTGACATTTGGATAACTCATCCTGTTGGTTTCTTAAGAGGATGGATATGAGGGAGAACAAGACTAGAAGCAGAAAGATATATTTCATGGATTCTAGGAGGCATTTTTTTTTAATTTTAACATCTAAATGGGGCAGGAGGTGGGGGGGTGGGGAGATGAGCATCTGACTTCAGCTCAGGTCAAGATCTCATGGCTCAGGAGTTAGAGCCCCGCAGCGGGCTCTATGCTTACAGTTGAGAGCCTGGAGCCTACTTCACATTCTGTGTCTCTCTCTCTCTGCCCCTCACCCCACTCACGCTCTGTCTTTCTCTCTCACTCTCCCCCTCTCAAAAATCAATAAACTTAAAAAAAGATGGTAAGGGGCGCCTGGGTGGCTTAGTCGGTTAAGCGTCCGACTTTCACTTAGGTCATGATCTCGCGGTTCGTGGGTTCGNATAAATGTTTATATACCCAGCAGCAGAGCTTCAAAATACACAAAGCAAATATGAAAAGATTAAACAAAACAGACAACTTAGTACTTCTAGATTTCAATAGCTCATTCTCAATAACTGATAGAAGAGCTTGTATGAAAATCTGTAGATACAGAAGACATGGTTGATGGGGCGCCTGGGTGGCTTAGTCGGTTAAGCGTTCGACTTTCGCTTAGGTCATGATCTCGCGGTTCGTGGGTTCGGGCCCCGCGTCGGGCTGTGCTGACTGCCAGCTCAGAGCCTGGAGCCTGTTTCAGTCTGTGACTCCCTCTCTCTCTGACCCTCCCCTGCTCACGCTGTCTCTCTCTCTCTCTCTCCTAGAAATAAAAACATTAAAAAAAATTAAAAAAAAAAAGATGGTAAAAAATCTAAATTGCAATGCTTCATTGTAACTATTAGCCAGAGGGTAGTCATCCTGTATTTGTCACACCTACTCAAAAGAATCAAAACTTGCCAAATGGGTGCCTAAGGCTTGGAAGAAAATTCTGGAGACAGAAGAGGAACACTCCTTTAAGAAATGCTGCATCACCAAAGCCCTTGATGCCATGCACAGAGGACTACGTTGTGTGAAAATCGTGTACATTTAAGAGTAAGAAAAAAAAAAAAAAAGGAAAAAAGAAAAAAAAAAGAAAAGAGAAAAAGAAAGAATCAGAAGAGTCGGGCTCTGAAGTTAAGTTTTGGGAATACTGTTATCACGTTGCTCTTTTTAAATTTCCTTTTTATGTATGCACAAGAGTGAACTTTACAAGAGTAAATCGGTATCTATATAATTCTACACTTCCAATAAATACGAAATAAAAATTCTAAGTGATAAGAAAGCATTGTGTCAGTTTGTTATCTTTTTTCTTAGCAGGAGGTAAAATAACGGTAAATTTTACAACAGATGGCATCCAGGCAAGGGATAATAGTCTAAAGTGAGAGAAGGGCAGTTATAAGAGGGAAACGAATTCTTGAAAAACTAAGAAGGAAAGATCCACTCAAATTGGTGAATTATCAGAGGAGGGGTACAGGTGAACGAGGAAGGAAATCTGGAGTGGTTTCTAGGTTTCTGGTTTGGGCAACTGAGTCCGCATGGTAATTTACCCTGGTGGGATTGCAGGAGGAATTCGATTTAGGGTAATTCATTGCATGAGGAGCTTGCTGGCTATCCCTCATAATTGCTCTGGAGGGACCAAACCCCACTCCTGGTACTGGATCCCGAGGATCTGCGGCTCAGCCTTTATGGACTCTGCACTTCGGAGTTGTTTGTGAGAGGTGGGTAGGGAAGGCGGGCGCAGGCCAGGTCCGCACCCCTGGCTGCGAGCTGACCGCCGAACCGCCTCTACACCCAGCACTCCGGGCTCCTGGCCGTTGCGAGCCGGGGCCCGCCCACGGCTGTGATTGGCTGGAGCTGCGAGCGCCGGGGGCCGGGGGCGGGCCCGGGCTGCAGACACTGCTCAGCGATTGGCTGGTAGGTACCCAAAAGGTACCCCAAATCACTGTTGGGGCCTCCCTTCCAGAGACCTGGCGCGTATTTCCATCCAGCCCAGTCGCTTAGTTAGACTTGGTAAGCAAACTATAGTTGAAGTGGTCAGAGAACCGATCCCCTCAGCAACGGCCCCTTTCCAGAATCGGGAATGAGAGGGGAGAGCTGGGATTGGCCAATTTGCAGGGACGGGGGCGGGCTTGGCCTTACTCGGGCGTGGCTTCTGGACTGGCGCCTGTCCTGGGCTCGGATTGGGCCTCGGGATTGTTAACGTTACTGGGAGGCGTGGCCGACACTAATAAAGTGTGGGACCCGCGCGGCAGCTGCGGTCAGTTCCACCGCAGCTAGAGCCCCTGGTGTCACGGGGAGGCGGAGCGCGGCAGTTGCGTCCACCTCACCCGCAGCGGTAACCCCCGTCTGTTGTCTCGTCGCAGCCACGGGAGAAAAGACGGAGCCCTCCGCCGCCACAGAAATGTGAGTTGACTCTGGCGTGGGGGGCTCGACATCTCTTTGCCAACTCCCCACCCTCAGCGCCAGACTCTGCGGGACGAAAAATGGCGCATTGCAGCAGCTGCGGCGACGCGGGGAAGCACCGCCGCGCATCGCCCCCAGACCTGGCCACCCCTGGGGAGGAAGGGTAGTACCCCCATTCCTGCAGCAGCCACAGCCAGCACCCCACGGGCGGGGTCGGGGCGCGGGGGTCCCACCTTCGTTGCACTGTCTTCTCTCGCCTGCGGGGCGCTTCATTCAGGTCTCCATAGTAGTGAAGCCCGGGACTGGGCGAAGTTGGGGCGTGGAGACACTGGGGAGGGGGTTTGGGACCCTTTCTTGTTGTCTGATTGAATCTGTACTTACGGCCTCTGGAAACAGTAATGAGTAGTGCACTTGCCAGTTAGTAACTTGGCTTGCTCTGCAGCCTCTGGATTTATGTATGGCCCCTCACCCCGACTGTGACGTGTTAGCCACCTCCCCCGTGCCCCTCTTGGCAGTGAGCAAAGGTCCCGAAACTTACCTGACAGTTCTTTGGCGCCAGGCGAGCAGCTCAGAAAGACCCAAGGGGCAGTGGCATGTGATTCCAAGCAGCCATTCATCTCAAGGCCACCTGTATAGGGGAGGTGTTTTCCTGCCGTTGACTCTTAGCCAAGTATTTGGAAGAGAAATGGAACCGAGGATCCCCACAATTCAATTTAGTGTCTGACCGTCTTCAACATCAGTCTCATTCCCAAGATCCTGAGGGAGCACTGTGGCTAGACGAATCAACTATTTCCCTGTCAGGACCACAGTGAATTAAAAACAAGATTTTTCATTCTTATTACTGTCTGGGGTTCGGGCTTGGTCCTAGATAATATTTGTGTTGCTTCTCCTAGTGACAAAAAAGGGAGAAGATTTACTTAATGTTACATATGGGTTATGACTACTCCTGGATATTTTACTGCTGAGTGTTACCAACTCCCAACAAATAGTAAGTGAAATGGTCCCTTCAGATGCTTTATAACCATTTCGTTTTTCTTTATTTGATTTCTACAGTTTTAACCATATGTGATATTTTATGGATTTTGGCCAAGCCCTAAGATTCCATTTTTTTTCTCCCACTTTGGGGAAAAGGGGGATCCTTCTCAGCGGACTGGTTCCCAATAGCAGGCATGTGGGATGAACTGGAGGAGATGGAGGGAGCATGGTGAGTAGCAGGGCATCACAAGATTTCTGACCTTAATCTTGTCATTGGTCCACTGTCCTGGACTGCTTCCAAGACCAAATACCGGCTGCTACATACTCAGTGAATTTTCCACCTTCAGAGAACTAGATTGCTTAGCTCAGTAGTAACACAAGAGTCTTGTGGCCCTCATGGCTTCGTGTATTTCTTTGCTTCCCTTGGCTTTAGAGTGAAATGAGAAAGCCATTTCTTGAATGGGGATGAGCCGGGTATAATCAGCGGGTAAAGCCTTTCTGAAGAGTTACTCTCTATTTTTTTTAGACCGAAAGAAATTCACTTAGGGAGGAAGAACTTTTGGGTTTTCTATTGTGAATAGTCAGGGCATTTCCTTTTTGGTGACTTGTGATGGTTTAATTCCTAATGCTTTTGCTCTTGGACTGGGCCTGTGAGGTATGTTTTGTGAGATTCTACTTCTGTTTGAGTTCTTACTATAACTTCTATTCTCCATCAAGTTTGAGAATCTCCCACTGCCAGTGGATTCCTCCTTGGGAGAGAAAAATCTCATGCCCTAGGTTAGACTTCCAGAAATTCTTTAGGAGATGAATTTAGCCTCCATTGTTGGGACGTGGAAAGGAGCTTTTCTTGAAGACCTCACACTGGATTCATCCTTTCTAAGGCTAAGGGAAAGTAAGAACCATCTCTGTGTATAGTAGTATAATCCAAGATTTCTCTTTGGGACATAAAGAACTAGGGGAGCCTCCTGGGACTTGATGCCAAATTTAGAAAAGGAAGGGACATGATGTTTGTGATGCATGTACATTGGGGACCATTACCCATATTTTTGCTTCCTGTCTGTGTTCTTGGAACAGTTTCATAACTGACACAATTACTTTGGGCCCCCAGTTCTACCGAAGTAGAACTCCTATCTTCTCTGCCCCAAACAAAGCAAGTGAACAGCCCTGACTTAACTCCACCTACAGAAGTTTTGCCTTCGGTGATTCTCCCAGGTTGTCCCTGGGCAGTCCCAATATGCCAATCATTGTGTGAAACAACTGTTAACTAGATCCCCTTTTCTTCAGGCTTTGTGTAAAAGAGCTGCTCCTAACAGACTTGTCCTGAGGGCTTAGTCTTTTGTGTGAATTTCTCCTAATCTGGATAGGAATTTTCCAGTCTGACTTCACATGAAAGGCTTCTGACAGGAAAGTGCCATCTAGTCCAAGGCTGGCACATTTGTCTCTGTAGCCTTTGTGCCAGAGGATATTTGAATTTGGGTCGAAGGATAGCCCCAAGCAGGATCTCTTGATGCCATCCTGGATGTCCCTGAGCTCCACTGAAGTGTTGTTATGGGATCTTTCGTCTTTTGCTTCTTCCTCCATGCTGCATCTTCTTACTTGGTGTCGGTCAAAAAGTTAGAATCCTTTGTAGTTGCGTGTAACCTAATCATCATTGCGTTGGTGACGGGGGTGAGAATGCATGTGATTCCTTTCTGTCTCGGTTACGTTGTGTGCTTGGCCCACTTCTCTCCACAGGTCTGCTCCAGCTCAGCCACCCGCTGAAGGGGCAGAAGGGGCTGCCCCCGGTGGGGGCCCCCCTGGGGGTCCCCCTGGCCCTCCTCCTAATACGACCAGTAACAGAAGACTACAGCAAACCCAGGCACAAGTGGAGGAAGTAAGTGGAGAGCTTTGTCTCTGGGAGTTTCCAGCTGATAGAAGTTTAGAAACTTCTTTTCCTTTTTTTTTTTTTCAACCAGAAGGGCAAGGCATTCTTGAGTTACACGGGGCCGGACTTATGATTCCCTTCCTGTTCTCACCCCTGTCTCTAGCAGGGAAGCTTACTGGCCTTGTTTCTGCCGCCCGCCTCAGGTGGTGGACATCATGCGTGTAAATGTGGACAAGGTCCTGAAGAGGGATGAGATCCTGTCACAGCTGGATGACCGAGCTGACGCCTTGCAGGTGGGAGCATCACGATTTGAGAGCAGTGCTGCCAAGCTAAAGAGGAAGTATTGGTGGAAAAACTGCAAGGTGAGTTTTCTTGTTCTCTCTGCCTTTACTTCCTGGGCCTCAGGTGCTACATACATTCGGGTGCTCCCTGCCTCTGGTGGCACAGGATCTCTGCCTGTAGAACTCTGGGGAGGAAATCTGAACGCCTCCTTGAGATGCATTACCGGCGCTGGCCACCAGGGTAGGCTAGAGTATTCAGAACCACTAACTGGGGGACAGTGATACACTGAGCTTGGAAATGGTCAGTCAAGCTGCTTTTCCCCGAAAGACCCCTGGAAAAACCTCCCCGGCCATTCCCCCCCCCCCCCAAGCTAACATCAACATGGTGGCTTGGCTAGATATATATTTAAATACCCGCCAGCTTTTAGCAATGAGCTGAACACTTCATGATGAAAATCGAACCAGCTGGCTAAAGATCCCGTCTGTCTACACCTCCACTTGGGTTTCTTTCAAGGCCTTCAGGCAACAGGAGCTAAACAAAACGGAGCAGGCTGCAGATGCTGGGATGTTTCTGGGAAGCTTCAGGTGTGGGACCAGGGCGGTTGTCTAATGGGGACTAGGAGAGGGGGGTCCTCCCAGAGAGTCCTGCCTGTGGATCTCCTGGGTGACGTGTGGTTTCTTCCACTGTCCCAAGGACAGAGGTAGTTCTGATCCCACATCTTTAGTGGGAATATGTCTTTCCTCCTTCCCCAAATCCAAGGGCCCATTTTCGGTCAATGTTTCCTCAGATGATGATCATGCTGGGAGCTATCTGTGCCATCATCGTGGTAGTTATTGTAAGTAAGTATCGCTGAGGTTGCTGGTGGGGTGAAGAGGTGGGAAGGTCCTGGAGTCTTCTCCCAGCCCTGCCTGCCTGCCTGCCTGGGGAGTGGGGCTGCTCTGACTGAGGTATGGAGATCGCTGCTGTGGGGTCATCACCTGGTTTGGGAGGGAGGAAGGGCAAGGGCAAGGGACTTCCTTGGTGCACAAGCCCTCCCTCTGCAAGATACTGTGGGAAGATGGTCCTCCCTGTCCTGAGGAAGTGGGGCTATGCTGTTTGTCACTGGCTGGGGTCAGAGGGAGACCATGGGGATAGAACACATGCAACGGAAAGGCCTGATTGTCTAGTAACTTGATGTAATTTGCCCTCTTGTTTTCTCCTGTCTCTTTCTCTTTTCCATCTGGGACTTCCTGATTCCTGTGTCCAGTCTACTTTTTTACTTGAGAATGTACCACCCCTTCCCTGTTCTCCATTGCCATCCAGTCTCATGTTTCTTTCCCTCTGTTTGCTCTCTCAACAAACGTCCGCATCTGCCTTCCTCCACCCCGTCCAGGCTTCTCCGTTGCCCACTCCTCGTTTTCTGTTGCTTTCATTTGCACCGTGTCCCTCAACACTAGAAATGCTGCTCGTGGTGTGGTCCTAGAGTAACTACCTGAAGAGCAACAGCTGGCACCTCCTCCCTACCCCCTTCTTATGTACTCTCTCAAGTTCCCCCAAAGCCGAAAAGAATGGGAGGCCAAGAGAAGAGGAAGGGGTGTGGCTGGGGTCATGTGCCCAGGAAGGTGCCAAGACCGGGGGAGGAGAAGGGTGTCTGGTGCCCATGGTGTCACCAGGAAAGGCCAGGCCAGTGGCAGGAAGAGGCTGCGAATAGCTCGCAGAATGGCAGCTCGCTCAAGACCGCCCTGGCCACGTGGGGCTCTTCCCCTAGGCCAGGCCCTCAGAGGATCCTGGGGTGGGCCCAGAGGCCGACTCGGTCCTGGTGCGATGATACCCTTTTAGGAAGTCAAGCTTGTTTTTGCAGTAGTTTCTGATCTGTTCGTCCAAGATTCTCTATGTTGTCAGGGATTTTACAACCTTTTGCTTTGTTTTTGGGAGACCTAGAGCACACACATTAATTGCAAAAGTACCGGCTTCATTCCTATCTTAGAAGCAGCCCCATAAGCTCATGACTACGAGGAGCTGTCTCTCGTCCACATGTTCTGGAGCATTCTGGGTTGTTTCTGAGAGTACCAGACAGTTCCATAGAGCCAAAGCTTGGGACTCTCCATTTTAATTGTTGGCATAGATAAAGGGAGAGTGCACGTTAATTCTAGAGAGACAATGAGTCAGGGGCCTAATTTGAAAATAACAAGCTCGGAAGTTTTGGAAGTTTTCTCGCCTGCTTATTGAGGGGGGTCCTGTTCCTCCCTTCCCGTGGATAAAGTGTGAAGTGTTAGGAATGAGGATCCTTGGACCCTCAGGAACTCCTTTCCTCTACACTATTCCCAGCTACTTGCCAAAGGCATGGATGAGGCAGGAAGTCCTTCCTGAGGGTAGTCAGTTCTGAGTGTTCAGAGAAGTCTGGTATCCCTGCCAGCCCAGTCTCACGTGGGAGGCAGGACAGTCCGTAGACAGGTGTGCTTGTGTACTGCTGTGTCATGGGGCCCTGTCACCGAGAGCCACCTGTCTGTCCTTCCTGCACTGTGTCCCCCTTCTGAACCACCTGCACCCATCTGAATGCCACTTTGCCTCCTTTCCTTTCCTCTCCGCATGCTGTGTGGGGTCAGACTTCAGACGCCAAGGCGGCCGCTGCTGGACTTCAGGCTGGGGCGTTGAGTGGAACAGACCCAGTGTGAGGGGAGGAGAGCAGGCTGGGAACAGGAGGGGGAGCACCCATGACTCTTGATTCCTCCTCTCATCTGGCCCACGAGCAGGAAGAGGCAGAGGGCGGGCTGGGCTGGGTCTGGATGCTCACTCTCCATGCAGCAGCATTTCACGGCGCAAAACCATCCTTCCTCTCCCTTCGCCCCTTTTCCTGCATTCCCTTCGTCCTGCCCCAGGGCAGGACTGAAGAGCTGGAAGAAAGCAGTCAGTGTACCCTCCCAACGGCCCCCCTCGAAGGTCTCCACTCTCCTCTGGGCTCCTCCTTGCCTAATGCAGGGGGTCACCGCTGGAGAAGAACCACCAGTGTCCTCGATGTGTCCCAAGCCTGGAGCAAATTCACCCTCTTGGTCCACCCAGCCCTGTCACGGGAATTCTTTCCTGGGTTTCTGTCCCTCTGAGGCCCACCAGATGTAGCTGGCTTTGTTCTTTTGGGGATGTTTGCCCTCCTACTTTCTTTCTCACCCCACCCTGTACCCTCTTCTGTGTCTTTGCTGTCCCCCTCCTCCCACCCCCCATGTGCATGAGCAAATATGCAACCAAACCCTGGGACTTTGCAGTCAAATGAAGCTGAGCTTCCCACATCCCCTTCTTCTTTGGTTTGCCATGAGGCGATGTGGGGTTTCCACTGTGTGTCTGTCATCACCTCTGTCTTTTTTCCTATCCCTAACCCCATACTTGTATAGAATAATAACAGTTGTACTTCCACCAAAGGCATGTGGCATATTTACCAATTTCATGTATTGTGAACAAAGGCAAAAAAATATAAATTCCTACCACTAAACCGACTTGGTTGCTGTTTGGGTTGGAGTCACTGAGGAGGGGCTGGGGGCGGGGGGGTGGTTTTCCTTCTCGAGCCTGATGTTGTGCGAGGCCGGAAGGCTGGCTTATGTGTGCCGTGTGGTCTTCTCGAGATGAAAGATCTGCTTGTTGGCAGAGGAAGTGGTCTCTGCTCTGTGTTCATACCTGGAGCAGCCCAGCTCTTCCAGGTACCAGCGAGAGGAAGCGATGGCAGGAAGCTGAGCGAGCATCTCAAACATCACCTCACAAACAACTGCAGGCTTTCTCAGACGCCTCCAGTCTGCCTCCTTCCTAGGTTCTCAGGCTGCCTGTCCTATCTTGGGGGGGAGGTGGGCAGGTGAGGCCTCAGCAAACATGCCCATTCCCCAGCAGCCTCAGTACGTACGGTTTCCTTAGGCCGAGTTCCACTGTACTGACAATTTAGAAATGGATGAAGCGAGATGCCCCTGCAGTTGAGGGACTGAGCAGTTTGTAGGTGACCTGAAATGCCCAAAGGGGCATGACCTCAGTTGCAGCTCAAGGACACACAGAGCAACTGGCGTGGAGCCCCAAGGCTGCTGCTGAGGGCCTTCGTGTGACACCCTGAACACTCTGCAAGTCAGTGTGGCTGGGCTTGGGGACAGGGCTCAGTTGCGTCCAGTGTGGGGAAAGACAGGAGAGAGGAAAAGCTTTGTTTCTGAGCACACAAGGAGTTTTATTTAGAGTTCAGAGGCTTGTGTGTGATGGTCCAACCCCCACCCTCTGCCCCACCGCCCCTCACTTGCTCCTTTCCTAACATCTTCCCAGTTGCTTTTCCTACCACAGGCTTGTTTTTAACCTCCACCCAGACACTCTGCCTTCCTACCACCCTCCCAACCTCTTCATGTTTTCTCCGTTGGTGTTCAGCCCAGGGACACAATGAAGGCAGACAGAGACGTGCACAGAGCCAGAGCTCCTGTGACCTGTGCCTTCTCATGCCTTTCTTCAGGCCTTTTTGACTTCTGACACTAGCTAGGGTCCTTCTGGGAGAACGTGGCTACTCCTTCTTACTGAGGCAGGAGAGTGGTTACCCAGAGGGCCTCAGCGTCTCGGCAGGCCTCGGTGAGGGAGCTGGGAGAAAACAAGGGGAAGGAGGTTGGTTGCAGTTGGCGTGACCCCCAAAGTGGTGGGGGGATGGGCTGGGACTCGGGACACTTGGGTTTCATCCCTGATCTGGGTGGGGAGGTGACTACAGCTGGCTGACCTTCAGGTGAAGAGGGGCTGGGGCAGGGCTGAGGACCAGCGGGACCTTACCTGAAGCCCCAGGAACAACAGCGCAAGAAGGAAGAGGCTGCTGGCAAAGAGGACTCCAAAGGTCGTTTCCTGCTCTGTAGAGTGAAAGCAGCACGGGCAGGAATTAGTAGACAGGAATCCTTTTTGAGCCCAAGTCAGATCCCGCACCTGCCCCAGCAAGAGGGACGCAGCGGGGAGGGAGGGAGAGACCCAGACACCCCATTCCCGGTGAAGGAGCTCTTAGCAAGTGCCCTGCTTGTGTCGTGCGCTGCAGTGCTCATACTTGTTGAAGGTTGTTGGATGTCCATGTGTTCCTCCACACGAGGTTTCCTACCTCTTCCCACCTGGGACGTTTTTAATTACTTCGCGCGTGCACGTGAGAGGTTAGATTAATTGTTGACAGGTAAACTAGAATTTTGCGACTAGCTGGGGAATGATGTAAGCTGAGATAGAACCCCAGTTTTGGGGAAACTTGGCAGTCTGGCGAGCCACCAAATGATGCCCAGTGTTCCAGAATGTTTGCATCTCTTGTTTAAAACCTTTTAATGATGTTCTGTGACTTCAGGATGAAATTCCAGCTCGAAGGCCCATTGTGATCTGCCCACTAATAGCCCAAGAGGGTTGAAGACCGTAGGGGAGCTCATTTTTCATATTTTCTTTTCTACCATCTACTAGGTAGGTGACCTTGGGGCAAATTTCTTAACATCTGTGTCAGTTTGCTCATCAGTAAAATAGGGGTCATGATAATACATGTGATCACACAGCTAAGTGCTGTAGCACAGTGTTTGATTCATGTAAATGCTCAATAAATGTAATTACTTTCAAGCTGCAGAGCCACTTCTCTCTTTTCCTACACCCCCTTGGCCCTAGCTGTGCAGTTCCCCACATTCTCCTTAGACTTATAATTTGGCTGTCACATGTGCCCTTAATTCCATCTTGTGTGTTCCCTTCCCACTGAGCTAGTGTGAATGTTAGCTTGGTGTGAATGTCTCTTCCAGGCCATCCTCCCTGACTGCCTAGTCTGTTCCTCCGACCTGAATAAGCCTCCTTGAGGGCAGGAACAAATCACCCTTGATCTCCAGCTCTTAGTACATTGCCTGGTACTCTAGAGCCCGTGTAATGACATCTCGGGATGCAGTGGCAGCTGTGGAGGCTGAACCAAGTGCTGTGGAAGCAGAACAAGGCCAAAGACAAGCACTCCTGGTACCTGGTGGACCAACCCAGGTGCTGGCCCTAAGGGGTTCCTCCAGGGAGACGTGGGTGACCTGGCAGGTGTAAGTGGTGCCTTCAGGGCCAGGTTCTGCCTTCAGGAAGGAGGAGACGCTGTAGGTGCCCACTGGGCTTTGCCGGAGGCTGGAGAAGGAGGCCCCAGAGACTGCAGCTGGGGCTCCACCTGGCTCCTCTCGGGTCCATGTTACAGTCACGTCCAGAGGATAATAGCCAGTGATGCTGCAGATGAGGCTGGGTGGCAGAGCTTTGTTTGCCAAGCTCAGTCGTACTTTGGGGGAAGCTGGAAGAAAGAACGAGGGATCAGATTCCAGAAGGATCTAGCTGGACAGCAGGGTTGCTCAAAGCCTTCTCTTCCTGCTGGGAGTGAGAGCAGGGTGTGGAAGCTCAGTGCAGTGCCAAAAGGGCTGGCCAGAGGCAGGCCAGGACGGGGTGCATCTTCCACAGGTAACTGAAAAGCAACCGTGAAACCAACTAAAGGGTCGCTGCTTATCATCACCTAAGCCTGCGATTTTAAACAACATCAGTGATGAAATACTGCTGCCAGTCAGATGGCCCCCTCCTTGGTTTGCTGCTGCTCCTTCTTAGGATGTGGTCAAAAGGACAGGGGTGCTTGGAGACAGCCAGCCAGGGCAGGGCAGCAGGATCCTGGGCTGGGAAATTGCTTGATGAAATTATCCTGGAGTCTGACAGAGAACAGTCTGCACTTCTAGGGTGGAGATGGCAGTTATTAGGCTGTGGCCATTTAGTCTGCTTCTCAAGAAGTTGCCCTTGAGTTGGATTCTGTCCTGGAAAACACCTCCGTAGGCATATCCCTTCCCCTCTCCGTGGAGCACTGAGTATGACTTTACCTTGGACGTGGAAGTGGATGATTTGTTGGGCTTGGTACAGAGAGGTGGTGATCTGACAAATGTAGGTCCCCTCGTCCTTCACAGTGAGGCTAGGCAGGGTGAGGGAGGCATCCCCAGCCAGGAGTACCTGCTCCGACTGCAGCGTGGCACCCTCCCGCTTGGCCTGGTGCTGCCCCGTGGTCCAGCTGTACACCAGCTGGCCGTGGCCCTTATGTTGCAGCCGCCACTCCACGCCAGTTAGGTCTAAGCCTGGGGCCACGGAGAAGCCACAGTGCAGAGAGGCTGAGGACCCCAGCAGGAAACTCAGCGATGGGGTCTGTGTTGTCACTTGGAGCTCCACTGTAGTGAGAAAAAGAAGGGTAACTGGGGGTTACTTCCTCCTCGAGTCCACCTGCTCTCTGAGCTGTGGGCATGTTGTGGGCATATGCCTGCCCCCTGCCTCCCTTCTTGGACAGTGAGGCCAGCTGAGCTAATTTCCCATTAGGTGGAACCACAAAGTGGGGCGCCTGGCTGGCTCAGTCAGTTGGGCATCCGACCCTTGATCTCGGCTCAGGTCATGATCTCACAGTTCATGAGTTCGAGCCACACATCGGGTTCTGCACCAATGGCATGGAGTCTGCCTGGGATTCTGTCTCTCCTCTCTGCTCCTCCCTTGCTTATGTGCACGTTCTCTCATTCTCTCTCTCAAAATAAATAAATTTAAAAAAAAAAAAGATGGAACTGCAAAGAAATGGTGTTCTGGAAAGGCAGCATGGCACACATGGTGATCCTAACTATTTTGGAGTCATTTACCCCTGGATAATCTGACGAAAGCTATGGATGTCTCACCAGAAAGTTACACATGCAAAATTATGGGTTACTGTTGACCCTCAGGTGAGACCACTGGAATACCAGCAAAAGCTTTGGAACCCTGCTTCTTCCATTTACTAGCTCTGTGACCTTGGCCAAGGCAGTAAGGGTTGCCAAGGTCATCTGCTTAAGGCAAGGCTGCTGTGAAGACTAAATAGGAATGAGAGGTTTTTTTTTAATATATATTTTCTTTTATTTATTTCTAGGAGAGAGAGAGAGAGCGAGCGAGCAGGGGAGGATCAGAGAGAGAGGGAGATACAGACTCTGAAATAGGCTCCAGGCTCCGAGCTGGCAGTCAGCACAGAGCCCGACGCGGGGCTCGAACCCACGAACCACGAGATCATGACCTAAGCNCAGGCTCCGAGCTGGCAGTCAGCACAGAGCCCGACGCGGGGCTCGAACCCACGAACCACGAGATCATGACCTAAGCGAAAGTCGGACGCTTAACCGACTAAGCCACCCAGGCGCCCCAGGAATGAGAGTTTTAAAAAGCCCACAGTGGTAGTATTTGTGCCAAACATACTAAACCTGAATCAAATGAGGAAAACAATCAGACACATCCAAATGGTGGGATACTCTACAGGACAGCAGGCCTGGACTCTTCAAAATGTCAATGCTAGGAAAAGACTGTTCTGGAGGAAAGGAGGCTAAAGGCCCAGGACAACTAAACGTATGACCCTTGTTTGAATCCTGGACTTAAAAATAAATCAGAAAGCTATAAAGAACATTATTGGTGCCACTGAAGAAATTTGAATTTGGACTCTATATCAACAGTAATACTACATCAACTTTAAAATTTCTTAAGTCTGGGGGCACCTGGGTGTTTTCTGATGTTAAGCGTCTCTTGACTTCAGCTCAGGTCATGACCTCATGGTTCGTGAGTTCAAGCCCCCCACCTCCAACTCTGCACTGGCAGTGTGGAGCCTGCTTGGGATTCTCTCTCTGCGCCCTCTCACTTGTGCATGTGCGCATACACGCATTCTCCCTCTCCCACTCTCTCAGAATAAATAAATGAACATTAAAAAACCTTTCTTAAGTCTGATGCTCAGTGGTGTACCAAACAATGGTGAGAATGGTCTGCCCTGGCAGGGAGGAGTGTTCTATTACTGACGGTGTTCAGAATTGCCAATATGGTGGTGGCGTAATGGTGAGAGTATTTTCTTAAAGTCTTTACGCACTGTACCCCCATCTTGCCTGCATCACCCTATACTGCTCCCCACCTTGGTTTGCTGCCAAGGTGATGGTTTTGTGATTATGAAGGAGAATATCCTTGTTTTTGGTTATAAACTTTGTGTTATAAACCAATACACGCTATACATGGAAACATTTGGGGTGAAGTGCTGGAGTATCTGCAACTTACTTTCAGTTCACGGTGGGGGGGATATCTATCCTTCCATCTATCAAGAGAGAGAATGTGGCAAGACATTAATAATTGGTTGATATAAGGGCGCCTGGGCGGCTTAGTAGGTTAGGCATCTGACTTCAACTCAGGTCATGATCTCATGCATGGCTCATGAGTTTGAGCCCTGCATTGGGCTCTGTGCTGACAGCTCAGAACCTGGAGCCTGCTTTGGATTCTGTGTCTCCCCCTCTCTCTGCCCCTCCCCTGCTCACGCTGTATCTCTTTTCTTCAAAAATAAACATTAAAAAAATAATTAGGTTGACCTAGGTGAATGGTACATAGGTGCTCATTCCATTATTCTGTCACCGTTTTTTTGTAGGTTTGAAATATCCCTACAAAAGGTAGAAAGATAGAAAAGGGGAGTACCTAGCCATGTCAGGACTCTGGCTGGCACTGGACAGACATGAGAACCCCTCTTTTCTGCTATGGCAGGATAAACTTGAGTGTTCTGGGGCTTTCTATGGATAAGAGGCTAGCTCCCTAATCTGGGCTTAGTTGTCTTCTTTTTGAAGGCAAAATACTGGATTTGAGAAACTCTGGAGAAGCCCATCATCATGTTCTCAATTTCCTGTGCCCTCTGGGATGTGCCAGATGGGACAGAGGAAGGACCAGATTTTGCTAAGAGTCAATGCATGTGCATCACTCTAATCATCCTGAAGCACCAGAACAGGCTGGCTTTCCCTGGGATACAGCTGGTGCTTGGCTTAATAAGACTACTATGGACAGCATATGTGAATAGAGCCTTGCATGTCATTTCCTCACACAAGGGAGGTGAAAATGATCCCAATCCAATTCTTTTTGAGTCTTTAGGGGAAAGGACTGAGGCTAGGGGACACCCTGGGATGACTGATATGGATGGATATGGACTTCTTCCCTTCCTTTTCCTTCTAGTCCCTCATAAACTGCCCACTTGACAAAACCCACAACTTTATTTCTGCTACTATTAATTTTCTCACCTGCAGTCTGAACCATCCCCTGGGGGCTCAGGGGCAGCTTCAGTGTGGGGTGCAAGACAGTCCCATTCTCAGCGTCCCTGAGAACCTTCATCACCATGGAGACACTAGGTCCCCCTCCGGGTACCTGCACGTTGGTGATGAACGAAACTGTCTTCTCAGTGGCCTGGAGAAAATAGTGGGAGATCTCACAGGTCACCTTCTTCCCGCTGCAGTCAGCATGGAGCAAGGCCTCGGCCTGGGGAATCTGTACCAAGTTCACTGGGGGAGAAGGGCAGCACAGAGATCTAGTTAGATTGAGAACACCTGGGGCCATGGGAAACAGGGGCAGTGGGTGTACTTGGGAACTGGGCTGTCCCAGCGGAGGGAGCCCAGAAAGATTGGGACGTAGGGTGGAGAGCTCTTACCTGAGGCCTCGAAGGTAACAGGTGGCGTGTCTTTGGCCAGTGTGTCCCCTTGGAAATCGGTGAAGGCTTCCAGGGAGCCATCGTCCAGCACTGGTACCTGCCTCAGCACGAGCAGGGCGTCCTCCATGGTCCTGCTGCTAGCAAGACTTCCAAGGTGTCTGCTTTCCTCCACCAGGAAGCAGTCCAGGACCACATCCACTGCCCGCCACTGCCTTTCTGCTGCAGGTGAAAGACTGGGGTGAGCACCCTCTTGCCCAGAGACTTGCTTCTGTACTCGCCTCACACCCCAACTGTGGAATCATCAAGGAAGGAGTGAAGTTCTCTTCCAGGGCCCTAGCTGTCTCTGTGTCCCTCTCTTCTCAAACCAGCTTTCTGGGAAGCACCTGCTAGTCCAGGCACATACCTGGTATGAATTATTCAAAATCTTGGATTTGCATTGCCCAGGGGAGTTTATGTTTTTATTCTTATTACAACAGCCAGCTGAGAAACTCTTCTATCAAAGGACTTCTCAGCAAAAGCAGATAAGCAAAATTGCCACTGGAAGGGGAGACAGGCCGCCTGTGTGTGTGTTTGGGGGGGCGGGGGAGGTAGTTGGTAGCCATCTTCCCGATTTCCCAGCCAGCCCACTGGGTCTGCTCTACTTTCAGCCGTTACAGGTGGCCTTCCCCTCCTCCACCCCCGGGGTTCACCTCCCCGGGGACTTCCTAGCTTTCCGCTTGGGAAGGTGTCTGCTCCCCGGCAGTGACGTCTCCAGTAGGCCGCCCACCGCATCCACGGAGGAGACCTCTCTTCCTTTGGCCTTTCCCGCAGGCTTCCGCCCCCTCTCAACGCCATTGGTTCCTTACTTTGCCGGCCTTTCTCCTTTTGGGCTTAGGAGGCTGCTGGAAGCCGGGCCCTCCCCCACCCCCTTCCCCTTCTGGAATCTCGGGGTGGGTGGCTCCCCGGTACGCCTTGGGCCCAACACTCCTCCCCACACTCGGGCCCGCGCTCCCCGCTCACCTGGGTCGGCCGCAGCTCCGCACAGGGTCAAGGCCAGGCCCAGCAGCAGGTCCCACCCCTCCCCCGCGCCCATGGGGGCTGCGCTCCCACCCCTCCCGCCTCGCCACCCCGCTCCACAGCGCCGGCTGGCGCGTCCCGGCTGGAGAAGGGGGCGCTCGCTCTCCCAACCGCCCTTCCCGCCTGTTGCGTTCTCCTCAGTCCTTGGCCTGCTTCGCTTTCGCTTTCGCTGCGAGCGTCACCGCGGCCGCCTCTGCCCGTGAGCGAGACCCCTAACTAGGTGCTCGCGCCAGCGTCGTGTTCACGGCTCTCCTTTCTGCCCCCGCCTCCCGCACATCTTCCCGTTATTTCGAGACCTGACTTCACGGCCCGCACCCCCTGACTCCCACCCACGAGAGCGGAGCCCGAGTCGGGGGCAGGGGGGAGGGGGGAGGGGGAGACCGAAGCCAGAAGCAGGATCCCCGGGAGCCTGGGGACCTTTCTTCATTTTCGGTTGGTGCCACACCCACTGGCGGTCCCACTTCCGCGACTTGGATGGGCCCCGACGCTAGTCCGCCCGGGAGAGAGCTCCTGCCTCAGCTCCGACCTGGGACGCGAGGCCGGCGTGGCTGGCGCCCTGAGACTGGAACTTCAGAGCGCGCGCGCGGAGAGCTTCTGCGTGTGGCTGGCCGTCACTTTATTTTGCCGGATTTCTGTCAGTGATACAGCACGTGGGGTTTCATAGGCAGAAAACGTGTTTTCCAGCTAGGGCCGCAGCCCTCCAGGGCGGCGCAGGGGTGAAGCTGGCGGAGCCGGGGCTCCTGTGACCCACCCACCACCGCACTCCCTCGCGTCCTTGTCACTGCCAGTCTCCAAAAGGCACTTTCTCAAGGCTTGCACACAGGAGAGGGTCCTGATGAGCGGATGGTACTGAAACTGGGGGTGCCAGGTCTCACCCCCCACCCCGGAAGGCGACAGGGTGGGATGGAGGCTGGGGTTTTGTTGTAGTGATGACTTCCCTGCCCCCCAGCAGGCTCAGGGGTAGGAAGCAGGCTCTGGTTTTCGGTAATCTTCCTGAATGGGGATGGCGCCCCCTTCCTCCTCCCTGGGGCAGCTGTAAGGACACGGCTCTGCAGGTCTCACTGGACTTTCTTCTTTGTCTGCAGGAGGAGAATCAGACGCAGTAAAGGTGGGGGATGGTGAGGAGAGTGCAGGTGAGCGAAGGAGGGTTAGCTTGGGGGAGGGCTGTCGGGGGGTTCCGGCTAAGAGGAGAGGAAGAGAAGCGGGGAACAAGGGTGGGTAAAGATGGCGCGAGGGAGGCTTCCAGGAGGTCCCAGCCGTGGGTGGCGGGGCTGAGGTAGTGGGGGAGGCTGCAGGCGCAGGACTGGAGACCTGCGTTTTGTCTCTTACTTAGTCCATGTTTTTTTTGTCGATGGAGGCACAGGGCTCCGACCGTGGTGAAAGCAAGAAACATTCCAGAGAGGACCACAAAGATGCGGATGCAGTCCGTGCTGCACAGGGACCGCTGCGCTGTGACAGACAGGGGCCACACAAGGGGTATTGGGGAGGGCCTAGGTCTTGACTCCCCTCAGCCCAGGCTACCTGTCACCCATCCTGACAACTCTCTCTTACTCCGCCCCCAACGGCTACCATTGGACTAAGTCTTTGCCTAATTCCTAGACTCTGCTGCTCCCCCTTCTTACCCCTACTCCTAGGAGCTTTCTGGCTGACTTCCCTCTCCCGTATGCATTCTCTCTGGGGGTGGAGAATGGGGAGGAAACTCACGTGGCCCATGGGTCGAGAGAGCTGGGGCAGGCAGCCACCTGAAATCAGCTAGAGTCTGCACCTGCCGGACTGTCCCGGCCTCTGGCATCTCTGGAAAGAGAGACAGGGTGAGCAGCAGGAGGGAGCCGCCCAGCGCACAAGTGTGGACTGAATGAAGGCCTGAGGCCTAAGAGGCGCTGGGTGAGATGGGAAGGCTGACCAGCTGGCCGGGCCACTCATGTGGGGAGGGTGCTGGTTGGGGGTGTGACCCTCACCGCTGTGACTGGGCAAAGCGTTGCCTGGAACTTACTTTCAGCGTAAGGTAAGTGAGTGGGTTGTCGGTGTGGGTCTGAGGCTGGAGGAGATGGGCGAGGCAGCAGTGAAAGGTTTGAAGGAGGATCACACTCGGTACACTCCTTGTCCCTGCACTGCCAGCCCTTGGGACAGGCGCACTCTGCATTGGCGGTGAGGGTGCAGTTTCGAATGAGGAGACCTGGCAACAGAGGAGGGCAGGGGGAACACGAGAAACTCGGGCCTCAGTGACCAGCAAGGTGCGCTTGCTAAATCCTAGCTTGAGCTCCCATCCCGACCCAACCTGGCTCCAGGAACGACTGCCCCATCCATACAAAGGCCTGCCCCTCCCTGCTGTCATCCGGCGCCTCTGCCTGTATTACTATCGCCATGAAAGGAAAAACAAAAACCTTTTAGAAAATTCATGGTTTGGAAATACAAACTGTAAACAATAGAAACAGCTTGCATGATTTTCTCTTTTATTCATATATGTACAGAGAGGGACACAGATCAGAAGCATGAAGCTTCAGAATCGCTACAAATCAGACCCACAGACAAGAGCAGCCGTGTTTCTTTTTAGTCACTGCCTCCTTCCACCCACATATAACCACTATCTAGCCTGACTTCCTAACACTGCGAGTTGATTTTGCTTCTTTTTGTACCACGTATGTGTAGTCATGGGTGTGTACTCACTTGTATCAGGCACTCTTACTCAACTCTGTGAAATTCATCTACATTGTAACCATAGACTGTTCTTTCTTCTCTATAGTCTTCCACTGGATGATGAATATCCCATGATGCAGTTGTCTATTCTACTGCTAATGGCAGTGGGTAGTTTCCTGTTTTTAAGCAATTAGGAATTGTGCTGCTATGGTCCCTGATAGGTTTTTATTTTTTAATTTGTTTTTAAATGTTTATTTAGTTTTGAGATGGGGAGGAGAGAGAGAGACTCTCAAGCAGGCTCTGGGCTGTCAGTGCAGAGCCCGACGCAGGCTCGAACCCACACACCATGAGCTCATGACCTGAGCCGAAATCAAGAGTTGGACACTTAAGTCCATCAATGGACGAATGGATCAAGAAGATGTGGTTTATCTATACCATGGAATACTACATGGCAATGAGAAATAATGAAATCTGGCCATGTGTAGCAACATGGATGGACCTTGAGGGTGTTATGCTGAGCGAAATAAGTCAGGCAGAGAAGGACAAATACCATATGTTTGCACGTATAGGAGGATTAGGAGGAACTTAATGGAGGACCAAGGGAGAGAGGAAGGGGGGAAATGGTGGGGGAAAGGGAGAGAAGCAAACCATGAGAGACTTTTGAATGCGGACAAAAACTGAGGACTGATGGATGTGGGGGGCGGGGAGATGGGCATGGAGGAGGACACTTGGGATGAGCACTGGGTGTTATGTGGAAACTAATTTGACAATAAACTATTTGTAAAAAAAAAGATTTGGACACTTAAGCAAATGAGCCGCCCAGATCACCCTCTGTTAGGTTTTTAACTTTACTAGAGAGTTACTTGATTGCCAATATACTTTGCTTTTATTATTTAAAAAAATTTTTTTAAATGTCTATTTTTGAGAGACAGAGACACAGAGTGCAAGAGGAGGAGGGATAGAGAGAGAGGGAGACGCAGAATCTGAAGCAGGCTCCAGACTCAGATGCTAGCACAGAGCCTGATGCAGGGCTCGAACCCACAAGCCGTGAGATCATGACCTGAACTGAAGTTGGACACTCAACCGACTGAGCCACCCAGGTGCTCCTACTTTGCCTTTAAAATAGAAATTTTATTCAAGTGTAGAGGTGGGGTGCTGAACGACTGCCAATAAATTATAGTAGAGGAGGGTGTGAGGGGTTCTGGGCTCGGTTGGGCTCACAGGTGGTTGGGGTTAAGAAGAGGAGGGTGATTCTGGGGAAGGCATCAGCACCCGGACATAGGCCAGGTTTGCGCACGAGCCTGGTGGGGCCTTCGGACAGTGCGCTCATGGGGAACCAGGGAGAAGAGCCCCCACAGGCAGAAGAGGGGTGCAGAAAGGAAGGCTGGAAGATGTTGAACATGACTACTAGTACTCTAACATTCCTTTAGCATATGCCTTTTGTCAGGGAAGGGAGAGGGACACGAATTCTTCCTATCCTTATGCTCCGATGGCTGCTTCTTTCTGAATTCTGACTCGTAGTTGCTACTAGAATTTGGTTTCCTTGTGGCTTACCAGGAATTGTGTGCCGGGCTGGACAAGAATCTGCAAGAAGAGAATAGTGATGGGGGAGGAAGATCACCTCAGACCCCGAAGCAGGTTGGGCAGGAGGGTATCTGCCCAAAGAGAAGGGAAGGGTTAAGGAGGGGCTGGGCTTGATTACAAGTGGAAGGAGTGCCCTTGTTTTCAGTGATGAGGATCCAGAGACCTGGGAGTTCTCTTCACCATGTTTAACCTGTGTCCCAGGTTCCAGGCTGACTTTTCCATCTTACCCATGGGAATACTGAGGTCCAGAGGGGGCAAACTCACTCAGCCTCCACCTGATCACCTCACCCCTGGCCACTGTTGCCTGGAGTCCCACAGCCAACTGTTGCCCGAGTGCTTTGGGGGCCTATGGGCTGAGTCTTATGAATTGCCTGGTCTGGGAGTTTGGGCTGGCTCAGTACTGGGAAAAGGCCTTCTGGTGGGGCCTGCACAGTGAGTGGAGAGGCTTTGACTAAAATACTCCCAGGGGCGCCTGAGTGGTTTGGTTGGTGGGGCATCCAGTTCTTGGTTTCGGCTCAGGTCATGATCTCACAGTTCCTGAGGTCAGTCCCCGAGTAGGGCTCCGTGCTGAGCGTGGAACCTGCTTGGGATTTTCTTTCTCCCATTCTCTCTGCCCCTGCCCGACTCGTGTTCTCTCTCTCTCTACCTCTCCTTATCCTTTTCTCTCTCTCTCAAAATAAACATTAAAAATGAATAAAATAATTCCAACCCTGCTGAGGTTGCTGAGAAGAAGAGAAAAGCATCCATTAATATATTTTTAAGTTAAGCGGACTGAGGAATATGTATTGTGTATTCGAGATGTTGTTTTTTGACTTATTTGCAATGGCAAAACCTTTTTTAGTTTGTTTTTTTATTTAATATTTATTTATATTGAGAGAGAGAGAAAAAGAGAGGGGGAGGACTGAGAGAGGGAGGGAGAGAGAGAATCCCAAGCAGGCTCCATGATGTCAGTGCAGAGCACGATGTGGGGCTTGAACCCACAAACCAGAGATCATGACCTGAGCTGAAATTGGATGCTTAACTGACTGAGCCACACAGGCACCCCAAGGGGCCACTTTAAAATCTGCTGCTCTATCTGGGCTGGCATACAGTTTCTGAAATTCTAGCTAAGATGTAGAAATAATAAAAGAATTCATAACAGCTGCACATGTTACACTTCTTCATTTAAAAAAAGATAAAATTGCAAAATAAACATAGGCCACAAACATATTCATTTTCCTAAATTGGCTTTTGTGCAAAAAAAAAAAAAAAGGGTGTTACTCACTGGCTGGTATTGTTATTTCCTTAGGGGCACCTGGGTGGCTCAGTCAGTTGAGGCTTCAACTCTTGATTTCAGCTCAGATCATAATCTCATGGTTTGTGGGATTGACTCCTGAGTCAGGCTCTATACTGACAACTTGGAGCTTGCTTGGGATTCTCTCTTTCTCTCTCTCTTTCTGCCCCTCCCCTGTTTTCTCTCTCTCTCAAAATAAATAAACATAAACATTACAAAAAAAAAAAAGAAAGAAAAGAAAAGAATGGGACACCTGGGTGGCTCAGTTAGTTAAGCGTTTGACTCTTGATTTCAGCTCAGGTCATGATCTCTCAGTTTGTAAGTTCAAGCCCTGCATCTGGCTCCATGCTGATAGTGTGGAGCCTGCTTAGGATTCTCTCTCTCCTTCTCTCTGCTCCTCCCCTGTTCTCTCTCTCTCTCTCTCAAATAAATAAATAAATACAAACATAGAAAGGAAGGAAGGAAGGAAGGATGTACTCCAAGTTCCAAATGAGTGTGCACTTCAGACACAGCCAATTCATCAATGGGGGGTCTGCTCATCTGAAATCTGGGCCCTAGGGCCACCTCCCTTTTGTTCACTTCCCCCTTTATATTGTCATGATCTGAGTTGTGCACTCATTCTCTGTAGTCCCCCAAATTCTGCTTCCCCCATTCCCTGTAACACTAGAGCTCTCTTCACATCGGTATGTGCCCTGTCCAGAGCACCCCAGTTCCCAGCATTGGCTCCACTGGCAGTGACTTTGAAGTGGCAAGCTCTGACCTCCTTCCTCTTTGCTTCACCACCACTGGCTCTGCCACCTTGCCCCCCCAGAAGTTTGCCCATCTCACCAGAGTTACAATGCCGACAGCTCTCACAGTGGCGCCGGATGTGGTGGTCTGGTGAGAAGGAGGTGCCCGGTATACATGGATCACACTGAGCAGCCCCTCCATGTCTGTTACAGTCCTTCACGAGGAAAGTCCCTGTGAGCAGAGGTCTGGGTCAAGGCCCAAGGAAGGCCACTTCTCTGCCCTCTTCAAGGTGCTACCGGATTCCTCTCCTTGCTGCAACCCAGATGCACTCTCCGCCGCCCTTCACCCCAACCCCCTGGCAAGGGCTCCTCTCTTACCTGGCTTACACATCTGGCAACACAGTTCTCCCGGGGCCCAGTAGTGCTTCTCTGGACAGCACTTGGGGGCTGGGGTGGCCGAGAGCCCTGTCAGGATCCCCAGAATCCACAGCCAGCAGAGGGGTGGCCGGTCCATGGCTCTTGCCCAGGGAGCTCTCTCTGCACTCCAGTGGCTGACTGCTGGCCTCTGCGGGGCCGCCACCCCCAGCTGGGTGCTGGCACCTGCTCGCTGCACCTCTGGGCACGGCTGCAGGTCCTCTTTGAGTTGCTGGCTCCAGGTGACAAACCTACCTTTGATGGCAGCTGAAGCTCTATTGTGGCTGTTTTTTTTTTTCTCAGAGCAGTGACTTCCACCCCCTCCCCCTTTTCCATGTGTCGGGTGCTGGGTGCTGGGTGTGGGCAGAGTATTAAAGGGCACGCTCTGTCGGAAGACTTGCTGCTCTTCTAAGACATCCACCACCTCTGACACGCTGGCCTCTCTAGGGTTTCCAGCTCGCTCTTGTGTTCACTAAGAACTTAACCCATCGTGCCTTCCTCTTTTACAGAATGTTGGATCACGGGGCACCCACTTCTCCTGTTCACACACTTGTACACATTATGCCCACATCACTCCGGGTTCACAGCTTACAAGCTATTAACAATTTAGAGAAGGAAGGGGAACCTGAACTGAGTACAGGTCCACAAACCTTTCTCTGAAACAATTGGAATCAGATAAAATTTTCATATTTGGGGGAGAAGCATCACAAGATGCCTCATGGGACAGGGTAGCACTGACACTCAAGCACAACATTTCTGCAGCAAAACTATTGAATATTTAAACTAAGTTTCATTGGGGCACCTGGGTGGTTCAGTTGAGCGGGTGAACGTCTGACTCTTGATTTTGGCTGAGGTCATGTTCCGAGGGTCATGATCTCACGGTCATGATCTCACAGTTGTGGGATTGAGCTGTCTGTGTCAGGCTCTGCACTGGGCATAGAGCCTGCCCAAGATTCTCTCTCTCTCTTCCCCTGTCCCTCCCCCCCCCCGAAAAAAAAATTAAGTGGGGATGAATAAGGACTGTAGCTAACCCTTGCATCGACCAAGGTCTGGTTTTATGGCCAAAAGTCTGTCACAGAATTGTTTAAAATTGCAAACAAGGGACTTAAACCTGTGTCCTCTCTGCCGGACTCTGCTAGGAGATCACATGTGATCTCATCTACTCTTCCTGCCAACCTGTGGGATGGGTATCACGCCTGTCCATCGGCCCTCCCTCCTCATCTCACTACCGTCTTTATCCACCTTTGTCCGTCCCTGGTGTCCTGGAGCACCTGGGACATCTCCCTTCCCAGCGTTGGCACTTGGGATTAGATTCCTCTGGGTCATCGCTTCCCTTCTTCCTCTGACCTGGGGATACTGGAACTAGCTGGACTTTCCTCTCTTTGAGTCCTGGGAACACACGGCTTATTTCTCCAGGACACTTTTCATTCAGGGGCTTTGCCGTTGTTTTCCATTCTGCTCATAAAATGTCACACTCCTGTGCGAGGTGAACATGATGACCACTACACTACGGAAACAAGGCTGCAAAATGTCACACTCCTGTGATCTCACTTGTTAGGTCTGTTCTCTGTCTCACTCTTGTTTCCTTTCTCTTCATATTTTCCATTCTCCTGCCTTTCCCCCCTCTCTTCAAGAGGGTCCTCACAAGTGGGAAGCCATATATGAGTGTGATCTGAAGAACTACTTATACCCAGCCATCCTTTTCCCTATGTGGCAGGGTGCCTGAATTCCCTCCTCAGAGTGGGAACCGTGGGATCTGAGGATTGTGATGCCACTACCAGCCCTCCCCCTCCGCAGATTATGGTCACTGTCTTCACTGTGAACATTTTTTTTTTTAATTTTTAAAAATGTTTTATTTATTTCTGAGAGACAGAGAGAGAGACAGTGTGAGCAGGGGAGGGTCAGAGAGAGAGGGAGACACAGAATCTGAAACAGGCTCCAGGCTCTGAGCTGGCTGTCAGCACAGAGCCTGACGCGGGGCTCGAACCCATGAACCGTGAGATCATGACCTGAGCCGAAGTTGGACGCTCAACGGACTGAGCCACCCAGGTGCCCCTTCACTGTGAATCTTAAACCTTGGGCGGGCATGGGGAGATGGGGCCTGTGGGGTTGGATGACCCCATGCAGGAACAATGAGGAGTTAGGACCTTTAGGGAGAACTTACCCAAAAGGGAACTGGGGGGCTCTGGGAGGACTGACTAGCTGTGAGCTACTCAGCCATGCAAGGGAGGCATTTGTGCTCTGAGCTAGGGCCCACTGTCCCCTCTCCGTGGGGGAAAGGGCAGGAGCAGGCTCTGCCTGGCTGTCCTGGCTGGAGGACCCTGGCCAGAAGGAGGAAAGCCAGCTTTCGGGACCTCACTTTCCTCTGGGCAAATGGAATGACCTCATCTCCTGTCTTCTGTGCTGTTTGCATCAATTTCTGGTAAGTCTTGGCCTCTCCTGGCCTGGCTCCCTGGCCAGGTCCTTCCTCTTGTCCCCAGGCCCTGTGAGTGCAGCCTGCTGCCCTCTCCTCCAGAATCTTCCACTACCACATTCTCTTTTGGGGTGCAGCTTCTCTCCACACCTGCTGGCACAGAGATACATCTTCTCTTCTCAACATCTTCCTTTTCTTGAATCTCCAGAGACACATTCACAGAAGACTTCTTTTGATGATGTTTGCTACTTTTTTTTTTTTTTTAAAGTGGGCTCCATGCCCAATGTGGGGCCTGAACTCATAACCCTGAGATCAAGAGTCGCATGCTCTGTTGACTGAGGCAGCCAGGCACCCCTAACTTTCATTACTTTTGAAGGCCTGGCTCACCCTCAGTCTGGAGCAGTGACCATAGCCTGGATGTCAGCTGGGGCCACTCTGCTCCTCGACATGCAGACAAGACACTGCTCACCTTCCAATCAGGGCAGGTCCTGAACAGAGTGGGGAGGAGACAGGACTGTCTACTGGATAAATTCCAATGGGTCCACTGTTATGGTCACCTCTCACTCCAACTCCTCTCTCAGCTAAAGTCCTGTCTCTGCTTCTGTGCTTCTGGTTGTTGCCTCACTGCTGCCTTGCCACAAGTTCCAAATTTGGAACACAGGGCTTTCTTGAATTTTCCTCCAAACCAACTATAAACAGAAGCCTGCTAGGTGTGGCAAAGCTTTTACTGAAGGTTTTTTTTTTTTTTTTTTTTTTTTAAATTTGTATTTTTGAGAAAGGGAGAGAGAGCAAGAGCACGAGGGCATGTGAGAGAGCCAATGGGGGAGGGGCAGAGGGAGATGGTTACAGAGGGTCTGAAGGGGGCTCTGAGCCTCATGCAGGGCTTGAACTCTTGAACCGTGAGATCATGACCTGAGCCGAAGTTGGACACTTAACTGAGTGAGCCGCCTAGGAGCCCCTGAAGGTTTATATATCATAAAGATACAACCTAAAATTGTGTTGGATATTCTTATTCTCAATGGTCCTTCCTCCCCCAGAGATTAATCAGTGATCTTGCTACCTTACAAGGCAGTTAAGGCGCTATCTTGCTGACACTGCCACCCTGCCCTTCTCTGTCACAGACTGCGTTTTAGAAATGTTCTGTCTGGCAGCATACTTCATCTGTCTTCAGCCCCTAATCTCCAAATCAGATTTGGCCGTTTATAAATCTATGGCCAGTCAAAGTACTCAGCAGAACAAACTCTCTCTGAGATCTTTCATTAGAAGGAAGTTCTGTTACATTACATAGGCGTCAGAAATCACTGTTCCTGATCCTTATCAGCCAAAGGCCTTAGTTTTTCTAGCCTTCTTTGTCCCCCATTCCATTTGTCTCCATTCCTTTGTCCTCCACTCCCGCCTTTCTTTGATAACATCAACCCTCTTCCCCTCCCTCCCTGCCTGCCCACCACTTTAGATCTTCCTTCCCAGCCTCTCTTTGAGAGACCAAGTGGCCAAGTGGGTAGGGCAGTGGGGTGAGCTCATTTCCCGGTTCTGTAATTTGCATTCTTGGGACTCCTCAGTCTGTGTCTCAAAGGGGACCAAGCATTTGTGGGCATTTCTTCCAACCTCTACTACTTTTCAGTTTCCCATCTCCAGCTCCTGGCATCTCCTGGCACTTAAGGTACTTGCTGAAAATTAGGTGGTCTTTCCTCAGCCTTATTCCTTGATAGTTCTATCCACAATTATAAATTTGAAATTTAAGGGAGCCCAAGGGCACATTGACCTCCTAAATTCCACTCCTCAATGAGAATTTTTTGCACGTCCATTCTATGCCAGGTCACAAAGATGAAAAAAAAAATAGTGACGTCTGCCCTCATGTAATTGACAGAATCAGAAATTGACCAAATAATCTCAAAGACAAATGTAAAGTTTTTAGTAAAGGCCATTACTGCAGCACCATGAAGGGGAGAGATAGGGTGCAATACAGATGCGTTTCCCTTAAGGGGTGAGGAGAGCTTCAGCCAGGACGTATGTGGGGTCTGACAGCTCTCTAACTTCCTGAGAACTGTTTGTTCTTTTGGTTTAAGTTTCTAGGCACCACCCTATTTTTGATTTGACCACTTCTCTTCTTGAGCCATAATAGCTTTTCTTATCTACAGCTGATGTAAAATAGGGGTGATCTGGTCCTTGAAGTCTTGGCAGAATGTGTGTGTGTGTTGTGCACATGTGTGTATTTTGAGTGTAAGTTTTCCACTGCTGATTTAATTCAGGTTTTCAATTTCTTCAAAGTCAGTTTAGTGGTTTATATTTTTCTGGGAGATTATCTATTTAATCTCTTTTAGATTTGTGGGTGGAAATATTTAAAATCACCAATAGATCACAGTTATTTTTTTTCATTTCTATTATTGTTTACTTATAATTTCCTCATTTATTTCTTGATAGAGTTGCAAGAAATATATCTAATTATTAATTGCTTCAATTCATTTTGATTTCATTGTGGTTTTCCATTATTATTATTTTCTGTTATATTTTACTTTGGTGTAATTTTTTATTTCTTTTAATTGTTTAATATTTTATTTTATTTTAAATGTTTATTTATTTTGAGAGAGAGAGAGCAAACACACGTGTAAATGGGAAAGGAGCAGAGAGAGAGGGAGAGAGAGAGAGAATTCCAAGTAGGCTCTGTGCTGTCTGCAGAGAGCCCGATATGGGGCTCGATCTATGAACCATGAGATCATTACCTGAGCCAAAATCAAGAGTTGGACACTTAACTGACTGAGCCACCTAGGCATCCCTGGTGTAATTTTTAAACTATTTCTTTCCTTTTACTTTCTTTGGGTTTATTCTACCATTCTTTTTCTAACTTCTTG